CCCGGCCCTCACCCCTACCCCACTCTCACCTTGCGGAGCCGCTCCATGAGGATGCTCTTGTTGCCGCCGCTGTCCAGGTTGCGGCGCTTGAGCTCGGCCCGCAGGTCGATCACGCGCAGCTCGCTCAGACGCCGGGTCTCAGGCTCTGAGCCGGGGGCTACCCCTCCGCCCAGGAGCGCGGGCTCGCCGGGCCCGGCCGCTGACTGACACTCTGCCATTGGGCCGCCGCGGTGCTGAGGGGAAAAGAGAGCAGCGCGAAGCGGTCGGACAGCACAAAATGGCGGCGCCGCTGAGACGCACTCCGGATCGCAGTGCGCAGGCGCACGACAGCGGCGGCGGGCAGTGTTGCGCCTGCGCGGCAGCCTCGGCCACGCTTCGCCGCCCCGCATATGCGCGGACGCTGCCTAAACTCATCGCGCATGCGCGAGGCTGAGCCGCCGTCGGGCAGCGGTGTCCGTATGCGCCGGACCGGATCTTTACACTCTCTCTAGTTCGCGCTCTCTTCGCGCATGCGTGGCACCGGGCGGCATTCCCCTGTGTGGGCCCTCATACGCACGTCGCGCATGCGCGAGACTGGGCCACCGCGTATGTGGAGGCGGCTTCGCGCATGCGCTGGGCCGGGCTGCCGTCTCCTGTGTGGAGGCTCTGCGCCTGCGCGAAATCACTGCGCGCATGCGTGCTGGCGAAGGGGGGGGGGACCTGAGTCGCCTCGGCCTGCCCACCATTTTGTGGTGGGATCACAGCGCATCGCCCGCCTCTCCCTACTGCGCCATGACTGAGACGCAGCCAGCGGCCGGGCCGGCGGAGTCCGCGCCTCTGAACGCAGCCCCCGCGGCAGCCCCGGGCTCGGAGCCCGAGACGCGGCGGCTGAGCGAGCTGCGCGTGATCGATCTGCGGGCCGAGCTCAAGCGCCGCAACCTGGACACCGGCGGCAATAAGAGCGTCCTCATGGAGCGGCTCCGCAAGGTGGGGGGGGGAGGGGAAAAGGAGGGGACATCCGGGTTCTTTGTCCGGGGCGGCGCTCCTGCGCGCATGCGCGACCTGCCCCTCCCCCCCTTCCCCGCGGCTTTCACTTGGGCCCGGGTCGTGGCAACCTTTGCGCGGCCCTCGGCACCCCCGTCTGCTGCGCCTCGAGGTGCCTGCACCCCCCCCCCGGGGTGCTGATGGTTTTGGGGGCTTCCACAGCCCTGCCTGGTCCCGTCCGGCCCAAACAAAAGGTCTGGACACAGCCCGGGTGGTGGCCGTGTAGGTACATCAGGACCTCTGCAGGGAGGTGAGT